TGATAGGAGCTAAGGGCATATACACTGTCTAACATTTTACACATCCTACTTATTTTCGTTTAGTATGATGAATATATAATATTAGAGATATACCCAATTCTTTTTTATTTTTTTGTATTTTTATATTTTATCTATACATTTCAATTTTTATTTTTTAATTATGGTACTATTGGTTAACCCATTTGACCCAAATGTTTAAATTGCTTACCCACCATTGAGAAAAGAAGAGAATGGTTTTTTTTTAGATTACCTTTCAAAACATTGATTTTTATATTATTAAAATTAATGTTGTAGATTTAATTAGTAGAATTTAATGATGAGAAACAAATATACCTTAAATATAGGATTTAATGAGAGTATGAGAGTTAATACCTTTTATATGCATGGGACTTAATGAGAGAGAATTGGAAAATGGTTTCATTTCTAGTTGGTTTTTAATTTTATATTCCACTTCCACCGATAACAATTTTTTTTTTTATTTATCATAGATGTGCTCAAAACTTTCTACAAATTTTCTTTTATTTTATATTTTTTACTCTAATTATTTCTGAAATTTTTATTGTTTAATTATGGCATCATTTGTTAGCCCATTTGAACCAAAATGGTTGAACTTATTACAACCCCCTAGACAAAAATATGATTTTATTTCTTGATTTATTTTAAAACATAACTTTTTATACTATTAAAATTATTGTGTATTAATATAACTAATGGAATTTAGTGATAGGAAACAAAAAATGCCTTAAATATATAATTCAATGAGGGAAAATGGGAGTTAATACCTTAAATGTGGGACTTAATGAAAGGGAATTGAATGAACTTAATAATACATTTTTGGCTCACAATAAAGAGGAAACATATTTCAAAAAGAGGAGTATTTTAGTCAAGAAAAATTCCAAAAACACAAGACTCTCTTTCTACTTTTTATAGTAGCTAGTATAGATATAGATATAGATATAGATATAGATATAGATTTATAACAGATGCATATGTATATAACCACATTTCAAAAAGGTGTATTTTAGTCAAGAAAAATTCCACAAACACAAGACTCTATTCCTACTTTTTATAGTAGTATATATATATATATATATATATATATATATGATGGATGCAATGTTCATTGACGTGCTGAGCAATTTCAATCCAGGCAAGGTGCCAACCTGTGGGTTGGTAAGGTCTCCTGCCGGTTGTACCAAAGAGTTGGGATCGAATCCCACCTGTTATGGGTTGGGAGATGAGCTACCCCCGTTGTGTAGCCCTTTGAAAGAAATCAAATAATAATAAGAGAAATTGTCTAAAACTCACCATGAGTTTTCCGCATTTCTCTTAAACTTGCCGCAACTTTTCAAAATGTCTAAAACTCACCATGTCATTAACTTGACGCTAAACAAACTAACGATTGTTAATATATTACCATTTTAACCTTCATAGAAAAATATAAAATATATACAAAATAAATTAACAGGTGTTAATATATTACCATTTTAATATTTAGACATGAAAAAAAAAGGAAAAAAGTTCAAAAAAATATTTTCAAAACTCACTTGTTATTGAGATGACATACTTGTGATCGAGGTGAATGCTGTAGTGATTTTTAGTGCCGATGACATGCTTGTGATTGAACTTGTGCAAATAGTTCGTGACAAAGTTAACTTTGCAATGAAGCAGTTCCAGGTCTTACCAGTGAAATAATCAAATTACAAATACGAAAAATACTAAAATTGTATATACATTAGCAGTTTAATTTGCAGAATGTGAGTATTTAAGGGAAAATATATTAAAATTTAGTTTCATAATACTGATTACACTTGAGCTTTTAAACAGATAACGAAAAAATCAATTCTGTTCAAGCTGTAATCAAAGAGTCTTACCTAACTAAATGCCTTGTTGAAAAATCACAAGGATTTCTAACTCAACTTACTTCCCATATCTGCATAGTTTTACCATCAATAAGAAGATCAACAATATAAACAGAAGGGAAAAAGAAGAAGAATATAAGTAGGAAAGAAAAAACAAAAGAGAATTTTAGTATGGAGAACCTACTCCAACAATAAAAGTTTTGACTTCTCCCAACTCTGGAAGAAGGACAAATCGCAGAACCGAAACCATTACAACAAAGTGAGACTATTTTTCCTTTTTTTTTATAAAAAATACAGTTTTTTTTCCTTAAATACTATAATTTGCAAAATTGTAAATGCATATATATAATTAATATTTTGGCTATTTATAATTGATTATTTCACATGTTGAACCAGGAATTGGTCCTAACTATTTGCAAAATGATTTATACAAAAACATAAAAAAACTATTTGCAGAATCTATCTTTTATCATGGTCATGGGATGGAGGGAGATGACACATGGTTGGGCCAGCCGCTGCAATATGATTGAGTTGGTTGAGAGAACAGCAGGAGAGATCCAGTCTGCAATATGATTGTGGGGCATTTTTTTTCCATTTTAACTTATCCAAGTCTAAAAACGATATCGCTTATCTACATGAGAAAATCAATTTTGTCGTAGGTCCCAAATGTTTCTGAGACCAACTTTCTCCTTCAAGATCGTAAAAAACAAACGAACGGGCCCAAGTAACAAATTGCTTAAATTAGTGAACTAAAAGGTCTCAATAATAAACCCAATCTACCCTTAAATAGTAGCACTAAAAGCAATACTAAGGTCAATTGACACAGTAGCCAGAACCAATATGATCTCAGATCTTAAGTCCATGGTCTATGATTGTTTTGGACCATGCAATTACGTACCATCAGGATTAGCAGTTCAGAATTCTCCTTGCAGTGCAACAGAAAACCTCTCCATCATGGCGATTATACACAAAATTCATCTCAAAGATCTGTCCTACAACCTTCCACTTTGGGCTGATGATGTAGGCACCACCGGACGGAGACCATCAATCTCACCTCGCTCCACTTTTGATTAGGCCAGGCCCACTGGCACTACAAACGAGGACATGCCCCCCCTAAGCAGGCCTCAAAGCGTCCTTAACTTTTTCAATGACTGAAATGCCCTCAAAGAAGACAGTCTCACAATTCACAAAGGAGGTTAGATGAGTCTTTTGATGGGTCGAGTGGGTTTTGTGTCGAGAGATGCCCCCACGTAAAGATACCACATCTTGGCCCAATTAGGGCCTTCTAGGAATCCATAGAAAGAGAGGTAGGAAATATTATTCAAGTGGGTATTGAATTGTGGAGACGAAAAACTTTGTTGGTTTTGTTGAATTTGAGAAAGGTTGATAGACCGGTAGCCTTTGCTTGTTAGGTTGAATCAGACAGGACAGGACATGAAAGAAGAGGGCCAAGTGCAATCAACTCTGAATTGGTACTTGTAATGTCAATGATGAAATCCTGTTGGCTAGTAGAACACATAATTTGATTGTAAATGCATGCATATCGACAGTTTCTGATGATTCCACATTATTCCTTCCTACAAATCTCAACATATTTTAGTCAAATTTGAAGATTAATAACTAACCTAAAATTCTTTCCTCTTTATTGATTTCTACAGTTTTAGGCCCTGCTTGGTTCATAGGAATAGGGGTCTGGAATCCGAATCAGAATGGGTTATTCCGATTCCAACTGTTTGGTTGGATGGAATTGGAATCCCATTTCCATTTCTGCTGGAATGGCATTCCCCATTTGAGGGAATGGCCATTCCCTGCCCCTTTCTTGGGAATGGAATCCCATTCCTGCTGATTTTAATTCTCATTCTCATTTCTCAAACTAATTGACTGTCGGTTTGATTTGCAATTCAAACAAAAATGGGAATGAGAATTGAAATCAGCAGGAATGAGGTTTTATTCCCAAGAGAGAGACAGAGAATGGCCATTCCCTCAAATGGAGGAATTGTATTCCAGCAAGAATAGAAATGTAATTCCAATTCTGTCCAACCAAACAGTTGGAATCAAAATAGCCCATTCCGGTTCCAATTCCAGACCCCTATTCCTGCGAACCAAACGTGGCCTGAAACCAATAGCAAGGCTTAATCCCACCCGTAAAGTGTTCTCACAAGATTCTCAAAGCAAAAAGATTTGTAATGGAACAGTTTTTTAGATTCCGTCTAGTGTCCATCACATTCAGCCACTACGCTCGATAATGACTTGTCAAGTGCTTTGATAAGCATTGTTCGGGCTTTGGGTGTTTTTGAGTCCAAAAGAGACTAGTGTCTGTATATCCCTAGATATCCCAATTCCTAAGCACAGTTGCCTCTTTACTTTTCTTGATTCCTCATCCCTCCAGTTTTACCAAAATCTTTAGCTTTTGTGGGCCTCTAAAGGTTTTTAATTTGCATCAACCCAAGAGTATTTCAAACCACACACACAAAAAAACTCATCTCAACTCCATAAAGAAAGTTTCAATTTAGAGGTTTCCTAGAACCAAAGTTAATTTTTCTCCCAAGCTATGTAATTTCAAATTTCAAACAGGTAAAAGAATCCAACTCTATCTTGAAAAAGATGCAAAGCAAATATATTTGTAAAAGTGATTGTTTGAATGGATCCCAACTTTGGTAACAGACCAGAGTCTGAACTGATAGCTTCACATGTCCACCAAGGTGGTGATTCCCTTGACAGTGATGCTTACATTGCATCTCTCTCTCACACACACACACAAACAAATGGGATATCCACAACCACAAGAGAAAAAACAGAGGTGTTAGTGAATGAGCATTCAGCAATGTGTTGTGCCAGGATCATTGAAACCCACTTTTTTCGACTGGATTGGATAAAGTGGTATCTTGGATGCTCTCATTTTACACTTTGAAATGGTGATCTACTTGGGAAATTTTCCTTTTAGCTTTTCTGTGAGAATTTTGACTATGCTTCATCTTTTCTTTAGCAATGTCTGACTGCAGTTACCCTTCGTTTACTTGCTATTTAATATACCCCTCCCCCCCCCCCCCATGTCTCTCTCTCCCATGCATATCCATGTCCTAAAGCTTATTATTGAACTGATCCATAATTAAGCTTTTTGTCTTTGAAGCTCTCCTATTTAAGAGAAAGAGAAACGCATAACTTTTGCATAATTCACTATTCTAAGTTAATACCCACATACATGAACCTCATTTTTACCTGTCATATATATAATATATCTCACTAGAATAGACTCCAAAATGTACCATTTCTCCCTTGGTTTACATTAACAAGTGCTGGGCCCAAAACCCACAAGCCCATTTGCTACATCAAATGATATCTGGATCCCCTCTTGTTGTATGTTCCCAATGATGGAAAGCCCTGTTGAAGAAGGTGCAAAGGCAAAACAGAAGGTGCCCACTTCATCCACCGGAATCAGAAAGTTCCTGGCCGGAAGAGTCAGGATCGGCCCACCAGAGAAGTAAAACGAAACTGTTGGCACTCGCACTGTCTCGAACCCCAAAAGATTGTAACATGTGTCAAATATTGACACTCCAGGGGCTCTTGGGAGGCCTGCAGTGCCAGAAATGAACGTGTCCCGCAATGCCTGGTAAGCTGGCCCTGGCAGCCTAGTCACTGCTGTCCCTGTGTCCAGGACAACGCCTCCATCTCCATATTCCGAGAGGCGGAACACATCCTCAGCCTCAGGCAATGACACCGGGACGCCGCCCACTCCTAGACCAGCAAGCCCAACATAATAGAAGCTTGGGGCCCGTGGGTTTCGAAGTAGTCGAACCCATGCTGCACCACCCACCGGCATTGCTCCAAGGCCGAAGACCAACGACCCATATGAGCCTGAGCCTGTACCACGGCTCACTAGGCAATAGCCAAATGCACCGCCCGTCTGGCCTCCCAGCTGCCCAACGAAGGACATTGAGCCGCCCCCAAGGCCCAACAGCCCTGCGGCACCCACGAACATGCCGCGGTTCCTGTGGCCACACCCGATTGCTACGTTCCGCACCACTGTGCGTCCAAACGTTAGCGTCTCCAGCGCAAGGGTCCCCTTTGTGTATGACCCATCGCCATATGACACTTCATAGCGGCAGCGTCCGGCACGGCACCCGGCGTTCTCAAGCAGGCCGCAGACAGTGGAGCTGCAAGCAACACCGGCGAAGGTGGCCGAGTCTGCCGGGTCAAACACTGGATCCAATTGGCGATAACACTGGTTACAGGGCTGGCATTGCACCCACACTATGTCACTCCCTGAATCAATCACCATGTATTGATTCCTTGGAGGACTCCCAACTCCTATCCGTACAAAATATTCTCCACTGCCCTGGTCCACGCCTGAAACTACCTCTGACGCAAAATCCTCCACCCCATAATTCACTCCACCACCACCACCACCACTCAGGCGGCGGGTAAGGCTGGCGACCCTTCTGACATCTCTTTTGATGCGTTCACTGAGATGGTGGCGATGATTGGAGAAATTTCCCAGAGAGATCATGTCTCTGTGAACTAACTTCAACTTCCACCTTCCCTCAGCTTCATCTCCGTTGTTACTTTCCGAGAACTCTTGAAAGCTTTTTATCTCGGAAGGCCGGATTCTTGTAGCTACCATTGTTTCATGGACATTCAGGTACTGAAAATCAACACCCTGCCCGGTGAAGACAGCATAGGTGGTGGTTGCACCATCTAACAGCACTACAACCATGACTAGAGCTTTCATGGTTTCCATAGCTCTTTCTCTTCTTTTGGCCTTGCTAGCACTTGTCTTTCCAGAGGATGCGAGCTGATTTATTTTGGGGGGGGGGGGCCTGGAGGGAAGTAATTGAGTGATGAGTTCTGTTTTTTTTATACTATTAATTAATGTTCTTGATTGATCGAGGGAAAGTGTTTGTTTATAGTGGTTTATCTTTTTACTTTTTTTTTTCGTTTTTCAATTTCCATTCCTTTTTCTACTTCCTTTTCTTTCTCCAGGATCTGTACTTAAAACTCTTGGTATGCTTCGTTGGTACAGATTAGTCTCTCACATTGCCATTGACTCCTCAAGTTGTTTGGAGATTCAAAGACTGAAGGGAATTTATATATTGTATATGGTGTTACAAATATAATTAAACCATTTATTTTTACACCCCTGTAGCCTCGCATATTTACTAAAACCTATCCTCATAGTTTGTTTATTATTAGAATATCCTTCTGATAATTGTCACATGGATCTCTGAAAATGTTAAACGTATGGGTCCAGGGTCTTTTATTCTGAAAATACCCACAATAGTTCTGAATATCCTTTCCACTCATTTTGAGAGGCTGCATGCACGACCATTCCTAGATAAATTACAAATGGTTCATAAGGAAATTTTGATAAATAAATCACTTGTAAATTACAATGTGTGTTTTAACAATATGTAAACCCTTGGGTAAGTTTTAGTAAATAGGTAAAGCCATAGGGGTTTTTAAGTAAATAACCCTATAATTAAAATTAATCAAATAAAGTTTTTGGTTTACCTTTCCATTCAAGACGTTCTTTTTCATTTCAAGTATTTTTTTAAGATAGGACTTCTAGTTCTATAGAGATTGAGGTGTTAGAAAAAGAAATGTTTTCTTCTTTTAATCAAACCAAAAGAGTATATTTTCTTAGGCTACTTGTTAATTTGCTTTACAAGTAGGCTTACGTGGTTTACCTACAATATGCATGCATATGTGCATGCAGGCGATGCATATAGATGATAATATGGGTTGCCATCTTTGGGTGAATTTCATCAGCAAACAGCTCTTGCCACCTGGTAAAACTAGTTAAGCCATTATTTATTTATTTTTTTCAGCTGGGAATTGCTCTAGACTGAAAAAATGAAGCTATCAACTGCGAAAAGCATTCGAGAGAATCTAATAAATGGTGGGTAATAGCACTTATGAGGATTTAAAAAGTGAGGACATGACTAATAGTCTAATACAGCAGCAGGTCATCAGTTACTGATTTTAAAACACTGCTCTCGACTAGACTAAAGCCACATGACTAATACAGAAGTCTAGAACTAGTAGTGGTAGTGGTTGTAGTAGTAGTAAGAACTAAGTAGTGGGTGAAGGTAGGCGTGATGCGTGACACAAGTGATGTGAAATCAGAATCATGTTTTGAAATCAAATTTTGAAATTTCGATACGTATCGGAGGTTTCTCGATATGCCCTTACTTGGGGTGTTTCAGGGTTTAACCTGGTTCAGGAGGTAGACAGGCCTTAAACCAATTTCTCTGAACCAGGTTTAAAAAAACTAAAAAAAAAAAGGAGAAATGAGCCTCAATATAAACATATCAGCCATAGATATTTTGAACCTTCTTTAAAACAAGCAAAATTATGCTAATTAAAGGTCCAGAGAAGGTGTTTTGTTTTTGGATAACACAATTACTGCCACTGAGGTGGATAACCAAGCATTGGATGAAACCCATCAAATTAAAGCCAACAAAAAGCTAAAACTGGAATAAGTTTGACTGTCAAAAACAAACAAACATTGCAGAGAGAGATGTCATTACCATCCTCCTAGTCAGGTTAGATATCTTGAACGAGTCAGGATGAAAGAGTGTTGGAACATATTTTGTTGGGAGGAGATCCCAATTCATCTTGAATTTTCACTTTATTTATCATTTTTTTCTGTTATTAATTTAATGTAAAAAGTCATAAACATCTACCTATTCAAAACTGCAGAGTTTAGCTAGTCAAATAAATTTCAGAGAAGTAATGGTGCAGGCATGTGCCAAAGGGGTGTGCACCCCCGTTTCTTTGTATGCAATATGCATCATCAAACATTATAATAGGTTAAGTATAATATGTGGGCGGATTATCTTAAACAAAGCTATGTTTCTTTTTTATTTATGCCATCAAAAGCCATGTTCTTAAAATAAATAGTACCACCTTTTTCTCTTAATGAGTGGAAAGATTAGTTAAAAAGTTAAGATTGCCAGATCTTATTTATAAGCTTGTTAGTGACTGCTATTTCCTTTTGCTAGAAGGATCCATTGCATTCTTAAGTAATTGTGATTAGAAAATCTGCTAAATGTCAATCAAACTTTATATAATTGGGTATAGATAGATAGAGAGAGAGAGAGAAAGAGAAGGTGTCTTCAAGCAGTGGCATTCATGGATAGATGCTTATCTAAATATACCATGAACCCCAAAAGATAATCCTCGTTATTCCATCTACTAATTGTTATCTAACTAGACTAGCATGGTTTTCTGATGCTTACTTACTAAAAGTCTTCATAAATCAAGTGTGGTCAATGGTTAGAATCATAAAATCAGACCATTATTGCAAAAGTGGCCATTAATTGAGCTCTATCAAAAGGGTTTCTTAATTTTCCTCTAATCTTTTGATAATTAATTTAAACACAAACGTTTTTATGTCCCAATCCGTGGTATGCCTTTACTAATTCCACTTCATCATGTCCACAGGAAATGCTACATCATTCCACAATGGATGGTTTCAAGTTTCAACTTTGAAAGAAATAAATATTTCAGGGCGTGATGGGAAGCGAAAACAAAATCAAAATATAATACAAGGTGTCCAAATGATAGTGTTAGTGGACGTAAATACGACAAGACCAACGAAAGAAAATGGAGTAGAAAATTAAGAGAGACCACGCAGTGGGTATGTCACGAAGTAAAAGAAATTAGAATTGGGAGTGTGAGATATGCATCACTTACCAATAATTGATGAATTATTAACATATAAAGTAGCACCTGTTTAAATAATAGCAGTAGCAACAATCACAATACCAATAATTATACTATAAACTACTCTCTCTCTCTCTCTCTCTCTCTCTCTCTCTCTCTCTTATGGGCTTGTCTTTCCAAAGACCGTTGGAGGGTCAATTTTGGACTGATAGTCCTTTTTGTTTTTTTTTTCTTTTAATTTCCCCTTACTCTTGTTTTTCTTTGGCTTCAAAAGAGAACTGCAAGCCTAAAAAAGCCAGCTCCCATTTGCTATATTCTCAGTCTCAGCTGCTTTATTGCCTAAGCTGCATACCTATTAACACATTTTAAGAAAACAGTTGGTTATTGTAGTTTGTAATTTTATAAATATTTACAATAATTATATTGGTTTCCTAAGAATACACATGAATATCTTTGTTATTTTATTAATTTTCATCATGCGGCATTTTTTCCTGGTAATCTATACTTAACATCAATTATCAGTGTATGTATTTTTGTATTTATATATTCATTTATAATCAATCTAAGACCTAAATTTACGGTTATTAATGCAACTCTTGAAACTTATTACCCTATGCATACATATCCTTACTTTGAACTTTGTTCAAACGAGTCAATTGTTAAATTTGGGTTCGTCAATCTGAATCCAAACCCAACCAGAGAAAAAACACCAACTTTGGCGTAGGATTCTCTGTTTGCTAACTTAGGAGTAGCATTGGATTAAGATTTTAAGATATCAAGTTGGGTTAGGGTAGATGCCTTGGCGACTGAACCCAGCCTGAGTTAGTCTCTTAGTGACATTGTATTATACAGTAGATAGGTTACAACTAGAACCCAAACTGACTAACCTGGTTTCATGATTGGGTATGGTTACAGTCAAGAATTGTGGGTTGAAGATTAGGTCAGGTTAGTCACAAGGTTTAAGGTTTTCAGATATCATATTGGATTAGGACTGATTATGACCACGTCCATATCCAACACAGGTATAGATAGATAATGGTAGTCTCTTTCACTAATTAGCCTTCCCCTGTTTTTTATTTTTCTTTTTTTTCATGATTGAAGCGTTTTAGGCTTTTAGCTCACTTTTATGAATGAATGCTATCGGGATTCTGCCATATTCACTTGTTAAGCTTGATTGATCAATGTTGAATGGTGGTACTTGTTTCTTCGGCTCTCTGCATTCTCCACAAGAAAATTAACATTTAAATAATAGAAGGTACCAGCATAAGAACGGCTTTTCCAATAATCAAGAATATCTGGGGGACCAAATATTCCTAGGTTGACTCTATCCAAATGAACCAGACAATAATCACCAAAAAACGATAGAAAAAAAAAGTAAACAAGAATAAGAAAAAGAAACAGCCAATAAATATGAAGCTTTTGTTTTTAAGTTGGTCCTCCGATGGATGAAATGAACTTGAATGCAATATTGGAATTTGCTTAGCCATCCTCAGTGTAAATTTATCAGTGCTCACTAATATATAAGCTGAAACTAGTTCCATGAAGTTAGCTTGACCATGCATCGTTTTGGGTTTTCTCGCTTTTAAACTTTGTATCGAGGGAGAAATTCCCATGTAACAATATACTTTTGAATCTTCTTTTCAGAAATGTGGTATGGCCATATCCCACATTATTTACATCTTTTGCTAAACAAAATACAACAACTTCAGTGGCTAATCAGTAAACAGCAGCCATCTGAAATACTTAAGGTTCCACATGATTTAATGGGTAAAAACATGTGATTCATCAATATTCATAATAAAGAAACTCGCAATAAAATGATGGATCATGGCTCCACTGTGAAACTTGCTATCAAATAAGTGTAAAGCCAAAATCCCAAGTATCCGCTTCCAAAACTGTAATCCAGGAACCTGGATGCCAAACACCAACCTTTCTAGCCAAGAAAGACACAAGCAGGCTTACTATTGTGAGGGTTGCACCAAACCAGGGAAGATTCAACTGGTCACCGCATAACTGACTCTTTTACAAATGATCGACCTCCTGAACTGTGATAGCAAAGTCCAAGGTGTTAAACAATGTTAGATATGTAAAATACAGTGTGGGTAATGCTTTGAGTTCAGGGAGAATAAGGCTTACGCATATTCAAGATGAATATTCAAGAACCGTGGGTTTTCCTTGCTCTGTGACAGTGTTATAGAGCCTTCAATGACTTGATCTTGCTTCACCTCTATCGGGTCATAAAAGTATATCAAGGTCTGCAAAAAATTTTTTTTTTGAGTTAGTAAAGGACATGCTCATTTGATCATTCAATATCTTGCATTATGGAGTTTCCTGACTTTTTTTTTCTTTTAGGCTTCATTTGTTTGTGATGCAAACACCATAGTACAAACCTGGTTCAACCATGCACTGGTGCAAATGTTGTGTTCAATATAGGAGCAGATATGGGTACATTTTCCCACCCATTTGTTTTGATGAGAGCAATAATAACACAAATTACAAATATAAAATATCAATAGAAAAAGGTTTGCAAGTTGTTAATTTGTCCATGCCCATCAGACAGTTTGTATCCACATTTTAGATACAAACACGATTTCAAACCCCATTTGCATTCTTTTCTCAAGGAATTTTTGTATTCCTAGCAAGATGCAAACCTAGAGAGGAATACATATTTCCACCAGTTCAGTGTTTGCATTGGAAACAAACGCAGCCTCAAGAATTTCTTTTGATTAACAGTGACATGTGTAAGAAAAACGTGCGCAATAAGCAAGACTTCTCTATGCAAGAGATAGAAATAGTAAACATGTAAAAAAAAACTTCCAGAGACTTGATGTCATAAGATATACCTAGATAAAGAAAGCTTTGAGAAAGAAGGGAAAGACTTGAGAACCTGATGACACTATGGAATTGGAATGCTTTCTATTTAGCTTCCTCTGGTTGTAATCTTCATTGTAAGTGTTTTACCTCCACAGTTTGTTATATTGTCTCTTTCTTCAATAAAAAATTGTTTTATTCAGCTAGCTAGGGATGATGCAACTTCAAAGAAAAGAAAACCTAAACTTTTTGAGTCAGTAGCTCTAGAAGATCCATAATCTCATCAGGCATAGCTTTCCTTTCTTGAATACCCTTGCATCCATAGATGGAGATTATCTTCTTTGCTCACCCCCCAACCACCTGCCTTATGTGGAAACTATTCCCACACACAAAACCCTAGTCACCTTGATGGTGGGACTCAACCTTAAGGGGAGTCTTCCATCTTTTGGGACTGCAATAATTTGAGGGATCCATGAAATTTGCTTTGATTTCTACACTGCACCATATATCTCGTTTCCATTCGCATTTCACATGATACCCAGTCCTTGAAAAGTCAAGGTGTTGCTTAGGCACCCACCTAAGCAATAAGGTGCTTTTGGAGGGTCGCCTTCCCCAAACACCTACATATTTATACATAAGACACCACAGAATATTTTTATATTTTTATTTTATGTTATTAATAGTAGCACAATAGATAAACTAAATTATTCACATTGTGGGTTTATAGTACTAATATTATTATTCTTATACCACTTTTATTTTCTTATTTGTTTGGTTCAATCAACACACAAGTGTTTATTTTCTTACTAAACACAGCCTTAGAAAAGCTCACTAATGTCAACTTTACACCAATCAAAGCACGGAAGAAAAAAGATAAACAGCAATCATAGGGCAGGTTTGTTGGTTAATCAAAAACTATCGACTCCCCAAGAAACTTATAAATTTTTACCTAATAAAATTATGAATGAACAAGTACTGAAATACCTTTAGAGAGGGGCCAGAGAGAAACAAAGGAAATACAACTATTGTGCACATAGGGTGTTGTTGGGATCTACTGAGATAATTACAAGTACTGATCAATTGACACTAGCAATTTTTTAGAGGATGATATTGCAATAGGGTTGATGGTTGTGGCACTAGAAGGGGTGATAGGACTAAATCAAATATTCTTGAAGGTCACAGTTCGAGAACTAGGGGGAGGATGTGGTAGAAGTAGCCATGGACCAAAGAGAACCTACTGTAAGTTGGAAAGAAACATGGTTAATTTTTGTTATGATCTTTACCAACCTTCTACTTGGGCAAATCATGAAATGGATTTTGAAGATCATGGAGACAGTTCCACTCTGTATGGTAATCCATCACCATCAACATTGACAAGTTTTACAGAGAAGAAAGTAATCATCTCATGTGAAGAATATTAGCAATTCCTTTGATCATCCAATCACAACAATAGTAACAGTGATTTAAAAACCGATATGAAAATGGAACTACTTGTCCATCTAGGTGGTGGATCAGTGTTGCAATCATTCAGGTTAAATAGGTTAACCCGTGACATTATAAATAAAAAAAATATATATAAAAAGATAAAATACACAGAATATACAAAAAAATAAAAAAAAAACCGAGCATGTCTCTATATTATATATTCATCATATTAATCAAAATGCGTGTGATACAGTATAATTATTGGCTAAAAACACAAAAGAAAAATAAATAAATACATAACCTATGACTTTTACGGTCTTTTCTTGTTAAAGAGGTGTGATATAAGTCCATTCTGCCTAGAATTCAGGCTTTCTGCTGGGAAATGCATCATGAAAGTATTAGCATGGTGGATATCATTCAAAGGAGACCTAATTGGTGCCTATCTCGTAATTAGTGTGTTCTTTGTAGTGCAAGTGATGAAACAAGCTATCATTTATTAATCTCCTGTTCAATTGTTGCTGGTATTTGGGAATAGTTTCTTTCTCTTTCTGGATGTTGATGGGTTCCTCCATATTGTATGACAATTATTTTCTCCAACAACAATGAGGCAAAGTAGAAGGGGAAGAGCAATGTGGAGGTATACAAGGGTAGCAATCTTGTGGAAAATTTGGGAGGAGAGGGTAGCAATACTTGGAGAAAGACATTATAACAGAGTGTACCTGTTGCCAATGGGTTGGAGGGTCTTCAGGAGCGGTAGACAAAACAAGTGCTTCATTAGATTTTGATCGTTTCTTCCTCTGACTGGAACCTGGTGAGTAGGTATCAGAAGATGCTACTGGTGGGGAATATCCATGGATATTTGCAGGAAAAATTGCAGGTCCACTGAATTCAACATCGAACCAGAATGCAAAACCATGAAAGGGTGCTGCAAAGCAAAAAAGAATCATATGTAATAAAAAAGCAAATAATTGTACATACAAAACCACATACAATGTGAAATAAAAATTAACATGCATATATATTTGCATCAAATAATAATGCAAACCAAGGAACACTGAAGATAAGGACCTCTAATGCAGCCTCTCCCTCCCTATCCCCTAACTATTGAGTAATTTTCAGTCTAAAGGCTCACCCATAAGACCAATTAAATGAAATTTTATTGGCATCTTTAAAATAAAAAGATAAAGTTTTCGACAGATAATATGATGTGGACAACATTCCAACAAACTACGACACCCAGATAGAGCAAAAAAAAATGCTGGTTAAGATGTCAGACAAGGAATTTACACTAAAAAATGAAATGTCTGGCACAGAAAAACACCCATGTACAGGCATCCAGGTATTATAGCTAAAAAAAAGGCATAGTATAGGAGTAATGTAAACTGGGAATAATTGTAAGAAAATAAAATAGATAATCCTTGTAAATAACATGGAATTTACGCTAAAAATTGAAATGCCTGAAACAGCATGGCACCCATGTACATATATTGTATTGTAGTCGACAAAATGGAAAGCCCATAAATCTCTCTCACCCTCACACCCCAATTCTAGATTTTAATATTTTTGTAATTGCTAGAGTCGACAGTTAGGGGTATTTTAGTCCTTATGAATTGTTTTATTAATAGTTGTTTTGTACCTTTGATCACAAAACCAATAAATAAATTGCTGGTCGGCTAGGAGAAAGATTTGGATCATCTCTAAGCTGTTTCTCTCTATCTTCTTCTCCTTCTCTTTCTCCCCTTCTCTTTCTATTTTTCCCTAGGACTGAACCAGTGCTAACCAAACCATTAACATGGTATCAGAGCATTGGTAATCAGCCATTCCGCCCAGAAATCACCCTTTTTTTCTCTTTGAATCACCTCTCAGCCTATTGCTTCGAAGATATCTCATCACTCACTTGGAGGATCATGGGGGGACCAAAAAGAGTTGATTGTTTTTCTACTTGGGAGGTAATCATGCCTCCAGTAGTTGCTTTAGTGATTGTTTCAGTGGGTTGTTAGAAACCCTCTCTCAATGACTCAAAGAGGGCTAGCTGGTGAACTGTTCATTCGTACCTTGTGTTTGGAGTGGTGATTCAATCATATTTAGCAGTGTTGATCAACAGGCATGTGTAAAAAACGATATCCTCTTTTCTCTTGGTGCTGAATGTTTGTGATAACAGTGAATCTTGTTGCTGAAACCTATGACAGTGTGTGTTTCAGCAACAATTTTTTTTGAACAGTGTGTTTCAGCAACAATTGACTACTAGTAGTACAACGTGGTGAGTACTGAACAGTGTAGTGTGGTATTAGTGATTGAAGCTTTTATTTTCTTAAACCCATGGCAACAACAGGAGAGAGTAGTGACAATAAATCCAGTGTTATGATTTCCCCTGACCACCCTCTACATGGGCTAATCATGCTGTGACAAGGGTAGTGGTGAAATCAGTGAAAATCAGCAAGCTAACCAAACACCTACATCTACGATTACATCTGGGAAGGAGATGGTGAGTGTTCCACATGATGAATATGAAAGGTTTCTTCAAGCTTCCTCACAACTAGTGATTTAAAAGGTGCGCCTAGGTGCACAGGCAAGGCACATTTTAGGGTAGGCACCTTGCCCAGGTCCTAGGCGCACGCCTGGTGCACCTTGCGCCTCAGCCCAGGCATTCGCCTTTTGAAAATTTGACACTTTTTTTCTTTTTTTTTTTTTGAGTCTAGCGGCTGGGCCAAGGGCTCCGCCCCGAACCCACGTGCCACACCCCTCAAGGCAAGCCCAAACAAATCCATGTTTGGTAATGTTGTTCATTAACCCCCTATTTGGTAATGTTGTTCATTCATTCATCCTAACAAATTATCTTCTTAAAAAGCAATTAAAACTATAAAATCAGTATTTTTTTGTGTGAGAACTAAGAATTTAAGACCCTAACATGGACTTGTTTAGGCTTGCCTCGAGGGGCGTGGCACAAAGGCAGCTCGTAGAATCAGGAATGTAATATGTTTTACATCACATTAGCTACTTGAAGTAATGCAATTGAGAAAAAAAAAAGAGATTGTGGGTTTTACATGCTTGAAAATGTTTTATATGTTTGATTTTATTTTTAAATTCTCATTTGAATATGCTTTACATGTTATGTTTATGTACTTTAGATAATGGGCTTTTAAAACAGTTATTTTAAAATTTAAGTTTATGTTTTTATTAATATTATGTTTAATAATGCTTTGATTTTTTTTGAGTTTTTTGGCATTTTTTATTTTTTTGACATTTTTTTTTATTTTTTGGCATTTCTTAAAAAGGTGCAAAAATAAACATAACATGTTATTTTTGCACCTTTCTTATTTTTGTGCCTCAAGCGCAAATTGACCCCTGTGCCTTTTTTGCACCTTGTGCTTTTAAAACACTAATCACTATAGAACATTTCTACCCTTGCTCACTCAAGTGTGGTTTGTTTGGCATCCAAACCTTCCCATTGTATTATCGACTCTAGAGCTTTTGATCATATGAGTGGAACTCCAAGTGTGTTTTCTTCCCTCTCTCAGTCTTCCACATCCCAAATAGTTACCCTAGATAATGGTTTTAGTTCCCCTATTTGTGATGCTAGAAATTCTGACCTTGCATCTTTATCTTTATCCTTTGTTTTATGTGTACCCAAATTTCCATTCAATCCGATATCTATTAGTAGATTAACTAAGTCAATTAATTGTTCTAGCACCTTTTACCCCCTCTTGTGTTTTCCAAGATCTCAAGATAGGGATGAAGATTGGGGGAGGACATGAAATTGGTGGATTGTATTATCTTGACAGTGTTGGTCCAAAAGCAGCACTTCAGTCCTCTCTTACTCCTCTCCATTGGCATTGCAAGTTTATTCATCCATCTCCTAAATCACTTAACTTCTTCCCACATTGAATCATCTTTGTTCCTTGAAATGTGAGTTATGTCAATACAAGAAACATCATTGAGTTCCCTTCAATCCTAGTCGATAGTAGAGTTTTGAGTCCTTTTGCTTTGTTTCATTCACATATTTGGGATCCAAATAGAATTGTGTTGTTTGGGAGCCATACTCAATTTGACGTTCATATAAAAATTCTTCTTTCTAATAATGGCAAAGAGTATTCTTTACAATGCTTCAACAATATTTGGAACATGATATTATTCCTTCCTCACCACTTGTGTTTCCTCTTCCAGTTCTAGTTGATGATCCTATTCCTATAGTTCCAATTGTATCCAAACCTTCACCTCCCCCAGTGCAAGTTACTACTGAATGACCACCAATCAAGCAAGTGTAATTCACTGATAGGCACAGACTCCTCCTCTAGTTCCTTCTTTGTCAACAAATCTAGTAGGTGTTTCTCCTCCTTCTGACCTTGATCATCCCACTAATTGCACAAAGGTAAGTATAGTCATACTCTTCATCCCATTTCCAATTATGTTTCTATTTCTCGCATTTCTGCTTCCAATCACCCATTTGTTTGCCTTTTATCCTTCATCTTTATTCCTAAAAATGTCTAGGAAGCACTTACATCCTAAGGTAGCGTTAAGCAATGGAAGAGGAATTATCTGCATTTGCACATAATCACACATGGGAGCTTACCACTCTCCCTCCTAGTAAGCAAGTTGTAGGTTGTTAGTGGGCATACACTATCAAATACTTACCAAATGGTATGATAGAAAGGTCAAAGGTTTGACTAGTTGCTAAGCACTACTCACAATTGTATGGAATAGATTATATAGAAACTTTCTCTCCTATTGCCAAGATTAGATAAATCTGGGATCTGATATCTTTAGCAACTATGTATGATAGGCTCCTATTTCAGCTTGACATTAAGAATGTCTTCTTACATGGTGACCTTCTTGAGGAGGTTTATATAGAGCAACCACTAGGATTTATTGCTTAGTGGGAGGATGGTAAAGTGTGTAGACTCAAGAAGGCAATTTATGCACTAAAATAGTCTTTGTGTGCTTGGTTTGGCAAATTTAGTGAAGTGGTAAAAGACTTTAGTATGATGCAATGTCAAATTGACCACTCAGAATTCAACTATGAATTTGAAGCTAGGAAAATTTTGTTGGTGGTATATGTAGATGACATTATTATAACTAGCAGTGATAGTATGGGGATTAATACATTGAAGGTCTTTCTACATTACTATTTCCAAACAAAAGATATTGGCAAACTAAAGTATTTTCTAAGAATAGGGGTTGTAAGGTCGAAGCATGGCATCAATTTGTGCCAAAATATGTGCTTGACATGTTAGAAGAGACAGGACACTCAAGTGCTAAACCAGCTAAAACACCAATGAAGCCTAGTGTCAAATTAAGTACTGATGCAAGTGAGGAATTTGATAATCCAAGGAGGTACAAAAGGTTAGTGGGTAAGTTGAAGGCCAGATATCTCTTTTGCAACCAATGTGGTTAGCCAGTTTATGCAAAACCCTCAGGTACCCCATGAGAATGCAATCCTAAGAATTGTGTGGTTTTTGAAGGAAACTCTAGGTCGTGGGTTATTGTACAAGTCTAGAGTGAGCCTTGCAATAGAAGGTTACATTGATGTAGATTGGGCTAGCTCAATATCTAACAGAATATCCACCATAGGGTATTACACCATCCTTAGAGAGAACTTAGTGACATGGAAGAGTAAGAACAAATAGTGGTAGAAAGGAGCATTGTCGAAGCTGAATATAGCTATGGCACATACAACTTGTGAGCTAGTGTGGTTGAAGAACCTCCTTCAAGAGATAGGATACTTAGTTAACAGCCCCATGAAGTTGTACCATGAAAACAAAGCTGCTGTCCACATATCATCGAATCCAGTTTTCCATGAAAGAACAAAGCACATAAGATTGTCATTTTATAAGAGAGAAAGTGCTTAGTGGAGTGAATTGGAATAAGGAAATTAAAGAGAAATGGGGAAGAAAATAGGTGGAAAAGCTGAAAAGGGAGAAGTTAACT